AAGATCTTTAACCTGTTTGGCACGTTCTTCTTTTGGGATACTTGCCAACAATTCGCGGCTGTTGCTTATCCATTTCGTCAGATGGAAACCGCCTTTCGTCAAGAGATTACGTAGGTCTTGGACAAGTGGAACTGCACGACTGACTGTAGGAGTGGATTTGAGGCAGTCATCTACATAGAAGTTTCTCTTAACTATGTTGATCACATCACTATCGAACTTTGCTTCATTGTCTTCTGCGGTCTTCAGAAGGGCAAAATTTGAGCAACTCGGCGAAGACGCAGCGCCGAAGACATGCACAAGCATTTGGTATTCTTCGGGATCTTTCGTTAAATCACCGTCAGTCCACCATAGAAAACGAAGAAAGTCACTATCGGAATCTGGTATTCTAACTTGGTAGAACATAGCTTCTATGTCTGCCATGAATGCGACTGGATCTTCGCGAAACCGCATCAGAACTCCAAGTAGGTGGTTGCTTAAATCAGGACCAGTCAGTAGATGATCATTCAAAGACGTGCCTTTATATTTGCAGGAACAGTCGAACACCACTCTTACTTTTCCTGGTTTGTGGGGGTGGTAAACGCCGTGGTGGGGTATGTACCGGACTTTGCCATCACTTTTACACAAACGTTCTGGTGGAACCTTTCGAGCATACGATTTGTTGAGGAGATTATCAATGAACACTTTATAGTCTTCAAAAAGCTTTGGTTTTTTCAGTAACTTTTGTTTCAACCAATGGGCTCTTTGTACTACTTGTTCTTTGTTGTTTGATATTTGATGATCATTGTTCTTAAATGGCAACGCGATTACATAATGACCGTTCTTCAGTGTAGCTGTATTTCGAACACTAGCCATGAACTGTGTTCAGTCTTCACATCAGAGATTGATTCGATTCACATCTGAATTCACGAAAAAACTTCCGATGCCTTGAGATTTATTCTGACGAAATAAAGGTCCATTAATTGCCCATCCTAGCAATGTTCTTGTCGCATACGGACCACCGTTTTCGCTATTTCTGACTTCAAGAGGATCTAACGCTTTCGGAACATCACTTGCTATAAGAATACCGATCTGAGCGTCGACGATTGGCAACTGAACGCCTTGAAGATGTGGCCATTGATCGACGTCTTCTTGATCTGGAATGTCTTTACTTGTCACAGGAATATCAGCTGCAGTATAGATGAGTGGTAGGTCAATAGAACAGTTCTCATCCAAATCCGAGACTTCCAAGTGCTGGATAATTGAGCTTTTGATGATACTGTTTTTCTTTTCCATCGTTGTTAACGAAATCGCTGTTTCGATGCCCTTGATACCCAACTGTTCAGCTAGACTCTCAGTACAGAACGACGAATCACTCCCGTTGTCAAGAAATGCGTACGTAACGATTGTCTTATTCGTTTCTTTGCTCCTTACTTTAACGGGAATTATCGCTCTGGCAATCGTAGGCTTTCCGGCCCCTGTTTGGCTAGGAATTTCTCTGTCGGTATCTCCACTCGTAAATCCAATGTTGATTTCGTTAGCACGATCATTAGATGTCAACGAACTATCACCAGCTGTTTGGAATAGAACTTTATCTGTGAGAGTCGATTTATCTACCTTATTACTCTTTGAGTTGTTAGGTATAGTATGTAACACGGTTGGATGTTTCTTAAAACAGTTTGCAACCTTGCACGAGAGTCATGAGGTACAGAATTTTGCAAGATGTCCTTCACGAAGACAGCCAAAGCATAACTGCAGTCCTTTCAGAAAGTCTATGCGATCTTTATAGGGCTTGCTCTTCAACGCCTCGCAATGCTCGATAGTATGATTGACTTTTCCACGACCGTTCTTGTTGCAATATTCACAAAGTTTTCGAGATTCCTCCATGTTGATACCAAAGCTCGATCCTCCAGGTTTTGGCTTAGCGAACTTTAAACGATTGCTTGGCGGTTTGACAGTGGAAATATTTCCAAACACAGGGTGGTTAGCAATCCTTGCTTCTTTTTCCACAAAATTTGCGAGGTCTGGAAACGTCACCATTCTTCGCTTGACTTCAGTAATCTCGTCTACATTTCTGCGCCATCTGCATCTCATACTAAACGGTAGTTTCTGCACGATCTGATGAATATTTTCAGGATTATCAAATTTAGTCATAAAATCGTTTCCATCCATAACATTTTTGCAGCATACAAGAAGGATTGAGAATTTGTGCAAGTTCACATTATCTTCAGGTTTTAATTCAGGCCATTTCAACACTTTGTCCATATAGGCAGCTGTTATCTTATACTCATTACCATAATTTCTCTTCAACAAGGCTCTAGCTTCCTGATAACCACGCACTGGGGCCATGTGATGACACGATTTCACCAATTCTCTTGCTTGGCCAATAGTAAACTGTTCCAAATAATACAATCGTTCGGATGAATTAGCCACCTTGGCTTCGACAATATTCTCAAATGCACGTATAAAGTTATTATACTCCGTAGGATTCCCTTCGAATACTGGAACTCGTTGCTGTGGTAAAGTGCTCTTTCGCTGCTGTAACGAGAAACCCTTCATGATTTCATTTTGTTGTAGGTTTAAGTCATTCTGTTGTTCTTGAAGTCGCAACATTGTCTCTAGTGTCGTGTTATTTTGACTTAGCATTTCTCATTCCGGTTGATCACGCCTTTCGAAACTATCTCGTTGCTCGACTGGCTTCTCGATGGTTGCGCCTTTGTTTGCTTTACTAATAAGTGGCAGTTGGGGTAATTTTCTACCAGTTGAGTGAGGTCTTGGTGTTTGATGTCTTGATGAATTTTTCACAACTGCAGGACTTTGACGAGCATCATCTAGGTTTGTAGACGTAGTGGTTGATTGAGGTATTTGTAAGGCCGCTAATGCTTTTTCTTTAGCCGCACTTTTAGCGATTTCCATCTCCAACTTTATGCGACTTTCTTCCTGCTGTATTCGTAGTTTTTCTTGCTCTAAACGTTGCTGAATCTCCAACGACTTTGCTTGAACCACAAGTTCGGCCATTCTTACAGCTTCAGTAGCTCTTAACTCAGACGTCACCGATGAGCGAGTAGAGTACTTTGTCTTTGACGAAACGTTCGAAGCGACTTGGCTTACGGAGTCATTAGGTGATATTTCAGGAACAGACTTCGAACGGAGCTCTTTAGTTTTAATCCACTGATTTATTTTATCCGCAAAGTCTCGGTATGATATTTCTTGGGCTTCGTATTGTTTATCAGTTTGTTCTATATGTTCCGCCTCGAGTAACTCACATTGATACGCTCGGTGAGCATCGAAATATTTATCAAATAATCGCTTCAAACTTTCATATTTGTCCAAAACCTGCTTAATATCAGCATCTTCGGCTAATAAAGTGTTTATCTCATTCTTCTTAGCTGTGACTGCTGATAAAGAACCGCTTCGACTGTTTCAGTTGAGGCGCGTTAAATTCTCTTCTAGCATTAATTGCTCATTGACATTGGCTTGTAATCTCGGCATACGAACTTTCGCATTTCGCCGTATTGTAACATCACTTCGGTCGATACTACCATCAGAAGACGCTATACTTGTAGACTCGCGAACATCTTGATCTGTTTGAAGCATCTGCCCGTCTTGTTCAACTGCAGAAAGCATTTCGTCTGCATTGCTTTGCTCCATATACGCCATATAACTGATTATAATCGTCAAAACTTTGAACTATTGTTACTGCCGAATAGACACTTGAATAACGATTCACAAAACTTTACTTTATTCAATTCTTATAAAGAACAAACACATATATATTAACTGCCGATAAGGCTCTAAGGCCAACGTTCAAAGATTTGTTGACGATCCCAACTATGACGGCTTGACACTATTCAAAAATTTACGTTAAAACTCCGTCCTTTATATAAGCCCTGGCGGGCAATTAACTCTACATTATCATAATAGCTATTATTACTTTATGATAATCTATATAGTATTACTTTATGTATATATTTATGTCTATATTATTGTCTATATATATGACTCTTTTGCGTACGTTATGCGGCTGAGCATTAATCTTTATACTACGATTACAATTCCCGCCTGGTTCATCACTTGCAAGTGGTAGTATTACAGTAAACGTGGCAAATAGTTCAGTGCTAGACTACCTGAAGCACATAGACATAGATTTTTGCCTTCTCACACACAACTGAGTAGGTCTTAAAAAGTGTGTAAATTTCCGTTCGAATATTCCTGTCCATCTACTAACACTTATTAATAATAACTGGAGCACTTAGTCTTAGTGATAAGGATAGCTAACTAGAATGTCTTTCAAAAATAAGTAACATTAACAAAACGTTACTGTGTAACGGAGTAAACAATTACACAATTCAGTACTAGTATAAACTATATTATGCAAAGATGAACAGTCACAATACTCAATACTCAATACTCAATAGGCGCAATAATCGCTTGTATAATTAATATTTTGTATTTGCCGAGACACTTTTGTCACATTTGTTTCTGACAATTAATCTATTATCTATATGATAAAGAAGAAGTTCTGCAGTATAAACTGTACTATGCATACTATAAATACAAATATTATATAAAATTTAAATATTAAATCCCAAAATATTGGATAATCCTGCTATCCTACAGCCTATATCCGTATGAAATTGCACTGCTGGTATACCTATATAACTGATACTAGAGATTTTTTACCTTGTATATCATATCATGCATGTGCATGCAGTGTAGCACGCTTTTCAGCAGCAAATTTTCGTTCTGTTTAGATTTTAATATAATTATACGAAAATCTAAAAAAAAATATAATTTCAAAATCGAAAGTCCAAAGTCCATAGTCCAAAGTCCAAAGTCCAGTCCAAAGTCCAGTCCAGTGTTTACAATATGCCGTTTGCCGAGGCAAGAAATAATTAGATTTTCATCCATATCATAACAAATAAGATAAGATAAGATAAGAAACTTTATTTATTTAAAACATTCTAGCGTTTAGCACGCTAATTGGGGACACAGTATGTATTGCCACAGGATCTCAAATAATCTGCATACATACACTTTCCTCCGCAGAGTCTGAATTATATAGGATTTGTAGGGATAATGTAGGGATAGTAGAGGATATTTAGTGGTGCGCGCCGGGGGGGGGGGGGTGAGATCGATGGTTGAGCGTTTGACTAACAATTATACGTAATTTGTTTCCCAAGTAATATTACGTAATTTTACTAAAAAATGGCTCTGGGAGGAGAGTGTGCATACATATATGTTGCCTTATACGGGTCTATGAGGTGCCAAAAATGACAATATTGTATTAGTAAAATATTTACGTCCAAATAAATATTTACGGTTACTTACACTAACTTATATAAGAACACCATTATTTACGGCTACCAAAAAAAATATTTACGGCTACGAAAAATATTTACGGCTACTGCGCCCATTTGTAAGGTCAGCGGTCACCTCCGCGCATGCTCTGCGATACCAGTGAACTCTATATATATATATATCTGGAATGATAACAGCGAGCGAAAAGTGAAGCCGATAAAAAAATCACGACATAAGTATTCGTCATTGTCTTCGTCATCAACTGTTCAAGAACTTTCTTACAGTATTAAAAATCACTTACATATAAATTTGTAATTGTTTTGAAAGTTTTTATCACAGTTTTTATATCTTTATTCACTTTTAACCTGAAGATGGAGTTATACTCCGAAACGTAGTTATTAAAATAATTTTTTACTAAGCCCATATGGTCTAATTTATATTCAAACACACGTACATATTCATTTACATTTTGCTGGCAGGCAAATTCCAATCACACAACAAATTCTTTAAAAAATAACGTACCAGTGTATTGACTAAAAACTATAAAACTGGTAAACTAAAAAACAATTCAAACAATCGCGAAAAATGGCAACGGCAAAGTCACAGTTGCAAGTCAATTTACCTACCTGTGAAATGAAATTTTCTGGCAAGAATATCTCTTTCCTTGTGCATCCAGAACGACAGTACGACACAATATATTTGAAAAAGTGATTCTTTTCTCCACACGGGGAAGTTTTCCTCGACTTTTTTCCGACAGGGAACTCAATGCAGTAAATTTTAGGAGCAAAACAGTTTGCTCCTAAAATGTATTGCATTGAGTTGGCCATGTTTTTAATTTTTTTTCGTGATTGCGTTCAAATTTATACTGGCCGTGCAACGGTTTGCAAGAGGGGGAATGAAACTGACGTCCAATCCGCGTAAACCTGACGTTTGAGGGACTGAGACTGACGTCCAATCCGCGTGAAAGACTGGTATCGAAGCTTCATTGTTTTCACAATCAAATGACTGAATGTTATCGTTCCAGATATATATATATATATAGAGTTCACTGTGCGATACTAACGGAATTGGCGGGAAACACTCGCTAGAAAAACTGGAAATGTTTTCAAGATGGCGTATCGAAGACCTACTGCCCCTACTGCTCGGTCTGACAATTTGGAAAATTTGGTAAGACAGGTTGTTAATCATCCCAGTTTCCAAGATGCTGTTAATAACAGTACTAGTCAGCGTGTAAATGAAAGTATTTCAAGCAGTAGCAGTGAATGTCATACTGATGGAAGTTGCGAACCTTCTGTCAGTTCTGTCTAGGGTTCTGCAACTTCTGTGCAGGCTGGACTGAATGTTGCGAGTTCTTCAAATCAGAACAGCGCCAGACGCACACCACGTGAGGAGCTTCAAGCATTGTTCCACAGAGGGACTTCTAATTTTCAGCAAAGCCTTCCTCAATTTCAGCGAAGAACTAGTTGGGGCCCCTCGCCCTCATCCAGATCCCGATCTGGAAGTCAGGGAAAGCTGAAGCCTTACACTAATACTAATAGCAGCAAGGGCAAGAACTCGAACAAAAAAACAACATTTGCCCGGGAAGTTGTGCTTCTTCGTCGTCCGTCAGATTCAATGGTTCGAGGTGGGGCTAAAGCGGAACTGCAGCGTTTGGGGCACGTTATAAGCTCATTTGAGTTTGATAAGTTATGGTCTGCTAATGAGGTGCAGGAAAAACTAGAAGAGGCATTCAAGAAGCCTCTGGAGAGTATTGACGGTGTTTTGGACAATCAGTCGAAGTAAGTACCTTAAATTTAAGCATAAATTGCATGAACACTTTGTCATGCAATGAGCCCTACCCACTCACCCCATGGGAATTGCAGACAAATTTTAATTTTTTTATACCAAATTCATGTCAGTCTCTCTGGAAAATTAGACATGTCATGTATACCTCCATGGAAAATATTTTAAAAACCCTGAAATTTTCTAGGGGGGGGGGATCAAAATTTGCAATAGACCATGGACATGGTAATGCAAAACACTGGGTTTGGGAATCATATAAATTATTTGAACAATAATCACTTTTACAAGAATTATTTGCTAATTTAGTTGTTAATTTTTCCAGGATCAAGATCATGATGGGCATGGGAAATGAGCTAGTGGAACCACAGAAATATTCTGTTTATCATTTCACCACCAAACTTTGACTGGTGAAATGATAAACAGAATATTTACTCAAAGAACCATCTGGTTGTTAACATGCATGTCTTTAATGAGCTCTGATGATGACCAGGAACTGTTATTTACTCAAGTAAGATTAGTTTAATTAATTATCCCAAATTAAATTAATAAAATTGTGTTTGAATGTGGAAAATGAAACGAGTGATGAGTTTGCTGTTCTAAAAGACTTCTAATCTGTGCATATTAATGCAGTACATATTGCATCTTGGAATTTGTGTGTATCCAAATGCCATTCCAAGACAATGTTGTGCTTTTTTATGTTTACAGGCCTGAGAAACACATCGTAAATCTTGTGTGATTAATTATAAATTATAGTTACAAAATTGAAACTAGGTCAAGGTTCTAATTGTATTATGACTAATTTAATTATCTGTTGTAATCATTTTTAATAGTCTTATAAATATCAGTACATGGCTAAAAGGCTTTTCTTAACCCTTTTTCTTGTACTTACAATAGGAGGAGGTGGAGGTAATTGAAGACAATAAACCAGTTTATCATGATCCTGAATTAGTGTAAGTGTTTTCTGTTTTCATGTCAGATATTTAAGGCCTAGTATTGACTGCAATGCAACAAAAAGGAGAGGGCTGCATTATATGTATTATTCTATTCCGACTCACCACTTGCTAAAGAGTTTAAATGTAGATTCATGCATGCTTTAAAAGCTGTGAAACGACACTCTAATCGGGGGGGGGGGGTTATATACTAAGCAACATAAAATACTGTAAATTTAACTTCCAGAATATGGAGCCTATATTTAATAGAAAGTATGGAATGCCGTACATTTAATGCAATTTAACTTAATTAACTGATGACCAGATCAGCAATTTTCAATTAGAATTATACAATGAATTTTTGATGTGAGAAATGGTGGGGTGTAATCTCTGCTGCCAGCTTGAAAGTATAAAGATGTGGGTTTTTGGGCTAGCTCCCCTCCCTCCCTAATGGAGCTTGTTAGTTTAGACGAAGTCAGAAGCCATCCCAACTCCCAAGTAAAGTTAACTTTAATTAGGCTAATTTAGCCAATTAAGTTGGTACTCAGTCATATATCAGCAAAATGAGCCACTGGGTTCTCAGGTTAGAGTTACGGTCTGGATTACCATTGAGTTGGGGTGTCATGTCTGTGCACATACACTATACACACAAGGATTGAATGTGTTTCTATCTTTCCTCCTAAATTTTGCTTTTATTCTGTACTGTTTGAAGTATATTTAAAATGACTCTTAATTGGTATGTGTTTGGTGCTATGAATTTAGGTCCAGTCAAGATGAAGAAGAACTTGTATCTGAAAGTTCTTTTCAGTTGAGCTCGAGTGACATAAGAAGGTATGCTGAAGCAACATCTACAAATACAATGAAGACTAACCACCAAGCAGATGACTGCAGCACCAGCACAGTGCACCTTCAACAACATGGTGAAAGTGATCCACTGCCCTCCAGCTCCTTCGAAAGCAAAGTGAATTCATTGAAGGAAATGTTTCCTGGTGTCAGCATTGAATGTATCACACAAGCTCTGCACGAAAACAATGGAGATGTTCAGAAAGCTGTTAATACTCTCCTTGGAAATATAGGTTTGGTCTTGAAGAACTTCTGAAACATTAAATTGCAGTCCACTTTTGCCAAAAATGCATGCTGAAGTGCCAACATTTGTTATATTAACTTCTTAAATTTTTATACTGCTTGTACAAAATGTTTCATGATAACTCGACCATACAATACGACAGCTAGTTCACTGCAAAATGCGAACTAAGAAATAGTGGTTCAAAGTTTGCCATTTTGTTCTATCTCTATATAGTACAAAATGGCAGATTTTCAAACTTTGCTTCACAATATATTCCAGTGAATGGTTGTATTTTGAAGTTGTGCTAATATATATTCTTTTCAAACGGAACACATGCAACTCATGATAAAACACTTTTAAGTAACATAAATTGTAATCATGCCAATATCTTCGCTACATCACTGCATGATGATATGTTCTAATGTCCATGGAACACTTTACGTCATAGCTAGATGGATCGATCGTGAAAATCAAAATTACAACCAAATTGGCACATACCATTGCACACCATGTATTTTTGGCAAGCGTGTTTTATTTAAGCATTTCTATAATTATTTTTTGTTATTCATTTTTGGCACAGATGAGGATTTGGATAGCTCCAGTGGCAGTGAGGAAATACTTCAACGAAGTATATGGGATACACCTTTAGCAGCCTCCAAAATTTTGTCATCATCAAGTGATGCACGAATATCCTTGCAAAAGTTTGTACAGTAGGGTGTACAAAAATTCCATGTGGATATGGATGTACAAGTGAAAAGGGACTCTGACATCCTTGCTCAAATGATTAGAAAATACAAAAACCCTGCGTTCGACATAAGAAAGCCTCTGAATGTTGAGTTTGTTGATGAATTTGGAGTGGACAGTGGAGGCCACACGAGAGAGTTATTTTGTCTGTTGATGAAAAGGCTGACTAAGGGCCAAGCAGATGGTATAAATCTGTTTGAAGGCTTGCAAGGACATTTGTTGCCTCGTCACGACTATGATCTGCTATCAGGGGGACTATTTGTTTTAATAGGAAAGATGATCCTTCACTCAGTATTGAATGGTTGCTGTGGTATATCAGGTTTATCTCCTGCTGCAATTGCTTACATTTGTACAGGCAGACGTGATGCTGCAGTTCAACACCTCTCACTTGAGGATTTATCAGATCCTGTTTTACAGAAAACCTTTCAAGAGGTTTGTACAGATCAAGCCATATTTTAAGTTTGCATTGAATTTAAACTAATAAATAACACTGGCTACAGTAGCCTGGTTTCTATTTTTTCAGGTGGAAATGGTACCCCAGTGAGACTGCCAAATGGCGCAAATTACTGCCAAATTACTGGCATTAGTGATGAGGGGAGTAAGATCGGGGGAGGGGGGGGGGCAAGACCCCCCAAGTTTTCAGAAAAAAGTGCCCTGTCTCGTGTGCACGTTTGAAAGTTGCCCACGTTTTAAAGTTTTTGGAAAAGTTAATTTTTTTATTTCTCCTGGGTTGTGAAATTTCTTGCGGCTTGACTAAAGTGGCTCAACTTGAGCCACAGGAATTGGGTGGGCACTGGTCGGAAAACGTTTGGTGAGTTCGCAGGCTAGGGCACAGAATAAAGACATCTAGAAGATCGACTCAGCGTTGCTACGTTAGTGCGCTTATGGGAGGTATCCCCCCTGAACGTCCGCAATTTTGAATATTATCAGGGGGTGAATGCCTCTCATAAGCGCACTGGCTAGGAAAGAGGTTGCAGCATTTTCTATTCTGTGGCTAGGGCACTCTATGCTTTAATATGGTCCGCTTCCGGTGCTTCGTTCTTTGCGTATTTGTCTCGATATCAACTGCGTTTAGACTCTCGATTGGGCGATAAAAATTTTAGAATCTTCTTCAATCCTGTGCTTTTTTACTTATTTTCTAGAAAAGACTGTTCATATTAAGGCATAGAGTGCCCTAGCGTTTCCTAGCCAGTGCGCTTATGAGAGGCATTCACCCCCTGATAATATTCAAAATTGCGGACATTCAGGGGGGATACCTCCCATAAGCGCACTAACTAGCAACGCCGAGTCGATCTTCTAGGTGTCTTTATTCTGTGCCCTAGCCTGCGAACTCACCAAACGTTTTCCGACCGGCGCCCACTCAATTCCTGTGGCTCAAGTTGAGCCACTTTAGTCAAGCCGCAAGAAATTTCACAACCCGGGAGAAATAAAAAAATTAACTTTTCCAAAAACTTTAAAACGTTGACTTTTTTCTAAGCCTCGCATGCCTCGCAGTTTGTCGAAATCTTTGCAAACAAAGAATTTGCACGTTTTAGGCATGCCTCGTACGTTTTGACCATGCCTCGCACGTTTTGACCATGCCTCGCACGTTTTTCGTCACGCCTCGCATGCCTCGCACGTTTTCCGCATGCCTCGCATCGTGCCTCGCTGCCTCGCACTATAGTTAAACTCCTCTGAGTGTGTATCCACACCGGGCGAGCTTGAAAAATATGCCCGGCCACGGTGGGATTCGAACCTACGACCTTTGGAATAGGTCGTAGGTTCAAATCCCACCGTGGCCGGGCATATTTTTCAAGCCCGCCCGGTGTGGATACACACTCAGAGTAACATCACAAATATCATGAAATATGTTGTTCAGATTGCATTTTGTATGATTGCAGTCCCGCCCCCCCCCCCAACATTTGCGGAAAATTTTTCAGGTGTCTTTTCATTCCAAAAGTGCCTCTTGAAACCGCCCCCCCCGCCAATCTTTTGATGCTTCCTACGCCCCTGCAAGTGACCCTCAGCTTCAGGATATTAGTGACAATTTTGCCTGAAAATCTTTCAATGATTGTGGGACGAGAATGCTCATTATCGTTTCTTCTACACTAGTACTGTTAGTCTGTCACAGCATCAGAACAAGTTACTATATAGAATACAGGGTGTCCCCCAAGCACTAATTAATAGAAATATCCTATCGTTATAATTTAAATGCTTGAACACAATTGAATTGAATTTTTAATTACCAGTTGCAAGAAATCCTGTGCTTAACATCAATAGGAAAATTTATACAGTGTCACTTTTTTGGGGACACCCTGTAGTATACAGTGCATATGTACTGTTCCAAAAGGGTGATTTTCTAGATAACATTTCAGGTAGTGTAAAATCTTTGACCACTAATTAATATGTCCGATATATAGAGAATAAATGTCCCCAGCCTTCAGTGAGGGATGGAGGTTTGTGAACACAGACCGATGTTATCCTTAAGTAACCTCTTGTTCCTGTCTTCCAGCTCTTGTGTTGTAACAGTGCAAAGTTGGCAGATTTCACTCTTCCAGAGTCTTCTCTTTGCATTATTGAAGAACTTCAAGCTGCTGGTTATCCACACTTGGAAGTGACAGAGCAGAAAAGACATTTTGCATACGAATGTTGCCTAGTTCATGAGGTCATCACAAAACGGTTACCTGCGTTGGATGATATCAGAAAGGGGCTTGCTGAAGTTAATGTGACTGGCATCACCCTGCTTTGTCTGCTTGAAAGATTCCCAGAATTACAGGGTAGAGTTTTTCCTGCATATTCAAATGATGTATCTGCTAGTGTACTAAAAATGCATTTACAGTATTTTGAATCAACTGATGAGAAATGTGTCCAGGCACAGCTGTGGTTTGACCAGTATATTGATGAGTTGGGTAAAAGAGGTGAGTTTTATGTACATGTGTCATTAGTAGAAATATTATAAGTTCATATGAAAACTCTTGTGTGCAAGCTGACCTTACCTTTATTTTAGTTTTTAATACTAAATATTCCTAAATTTGTTTGTAGACAAGGACTGTGACCAAGAAACCTTGAGTGATCTGGTACAATTCTGGACAAGTTATCCTGCATTACCTTCAACAACTGCACAAAAGTTAACTGTGGATTACTTAGAAGATCTTAGCACCAAATTGCTGCCTGAAGTGAAGACTTGTCCAATGGTTCTTTCAATCCCAGTTGTTCATTCTAACTACGAGAGCTTTAAAAAATACCTTGATAAGGGTATTTCTTTTGCAAAAGAAGGCTTTGGAAAGATGTAACTAACCAGTAAAGTTAGATTTGTTGCTAAGGTTGCTTTTAAATTTGTTTTGATCATTTAAATTTCTGAAACAAGAACAAAAGAATGTTGAGTTTTGTTGTAGCATAAAAATCTAACAGCAGCATAAATTAAAGCATGCCTTGAAATAAAAGGTGTACTACTGGGACCGGTTGTATGAAAGCCGGATAACACTCTTTACCGAAAAGCAATTTTCTAACCGTCATCAAAGATTTATAATGCAAGATGTAATGCCTGACATGTATTGTATTGTATTGTATTGTATTGTATTGTATTGTATTGTATTGTATTGTATTGTATTGTATTGTATTGTATTGTATTGTATTGTATTGTATTGTATTGAGAAGTGATCTTTTCACTGAAGTAAACAGAAGACTGGAGGGGGGGGGGGGACAAATTTGTGCTCATGTATGTAATTTCTCAATTGATTTTAATAATTATACTGTCATGAGTGTCTAGTAAACAACAACATTTAACAGTCAAACATTTACCTGATGTGATTGGTGACTGGCATTTACTTCGAGGCCTGTTTTACAGGATTTAGCTGACTTATGCTGTTAGTAACATTATTGAACATTTAATACTTGATTTTAAGCTAAATAAATATACAAATTCAACTTGTCCTTGGTCTTCCTCAGTTTTAACTTTCAGGCTCTAGTACAAGAATAGCAGCCACATACACGTTAATACCATGGTTACCATCATCATATAATGGATTAATGTGCTCTTGCAACTGCTGAATGTGTTGTTCAGTTGGTTCAAAGTTGACTTCTGGCACTTGCACATTATTATCAGTATCACAACTGGGTGGGGGCCCACCTCCAATTCCATACTCGTTCCAGTCTTGTGGGGCTGCAAAAACACCTTCAATAGCATGATAATCAGAGTTGGTCATAGCATTTATTGCAGAGTGCCACAGCTGTAAGGGTGAACGATTCCCAGCAGTACTCAAAGGATGATTGTTCCAAACATTAACCAATTCAATCAGAGACCTGTTTATACGTGGCAAGAACACATAATGCAAAA